CCCCCCAAAAAAAAAAAAAAACATAGGTAGCTTTATTAAGGCCCCTACATTAACGTTAAAGGCCGGGGATGAGAAGATTCACCGTTTCAAGGTGGTCAGAATGTCAGATTTCCAGGTGATGTCTCGCACTGACATACGGTTGATGATATAAATCCTGCATTCCCCATAATAAGGAATATACCATCATTCCCATAGTCTAGGGTCCTTAAGGTAATGCAGGATTTCTATCATCAACAGCAGTGCCGGTGTGGCGAGAATTTGTGTCTGAGCTGGGCAGCCCTCTCACATCCGAAACCTGATCTGGTAGTATATCACAGTTTCGACAACACAGTTTAGGGTCTAGGGTAACAAGCCTTCGCCCAACGGGACAGCATCACTAAGTTTTCCGGTCTCCACATTGCACCATTAGGATTTAAAGCTATCTTAAGGATCTAGGGCCGGGCCTAGAGAAGATTGGTGGCAATGATCAAGTACTGCATCTGGTCGCTGCAAGCAGAAAGCACGGCTCTTGAAGCTTGTGGGCAAAAGCCCTGCAAAGTTGATCAAGAAAGCTTCAACCCCGAACCCTAAACCCTGGTGGAGAGAACCAGCAAGTCGACAGCCAGCACATCTAGAGATTCATTTGCCTTATTCTTGAAAGAAGCCTCCGAAACCTGAAGCCATGAAGTTGAACCCTGCGAGTAACAAAAACCTCATCCTATGAAAGATCAGACAGGATCCGAGATGCCATGAGGATGTGTGGGTAGCTCCAACGCTGCATCCATCGGTTGTAGATGACCATGCCCACCAGAGAGAAGACCTCTGAAAGAGACTAAATAAACCCTAAACCGTAAAACCCTAAAACCCTAAAGCCCTACACCCCTAAAGCCCTAATCGAGCTTGAGGAGGTTCAGCTCAACCCGTCTAGGCCCTAAAGCCTCAACCCCAAACTTCTGGGCCCGACGTCCGCGAGGGATGATGTAGCTGCTTCAAAGGGTTCTGTAAAGGGTTCTATAAGGGCTACTAATATACGGGTTTGGGGTATAGGGGCCTTAACGATTAGAGGACCCAGTCTACCATGATAAAAATATAAGGATCCCCCCCCCGTCCGGGCTGAAATGAACTTAGCCTCAAGACTAAGCCAGAAGCCCCTGCCCACCACGATGGCTACAAAACACGATGAAACTGCCTCCCCTCATCCTGAAGCAAATTATGTATAGGTCCGTTGTAACCCCATGCTTCGACCGAGGATGCCGCGGTCGACACCATGCCAATCGCGCTGGTGTAGAACACCTGCGATAGTGCGGGGAATGGTATACCAAGCTCCTACTGCTAACGGACAAAATCTGGAATCACTTGAAGAATCGCGAAGCAAGCTATGGATGATACTGGAAGTTGCCAATGAGAGGAAAGAATATTCATGTAAACTGCAGGTCTAGCAGGTTGATGGCTGCGCAGATTGCTGCTTCTGTAGAGTTCAAGCTTGGGTGCTTTGCCTTTCTGCACTGTTCAGGTGTGGATGAGGCGTGCGCCGCAGGTTCAGCATCTTATGCGGAAATCATGGTATCCAGATTTAAAGCTAACCTATGCGGATTCGCACATTTGACACAATCTCGCGACAAGAGTGTTTGCGTTCAGCCTGATCTCGGCTAACCCTAAGGGTTCAAGCACCTGATAATCGCAAAATCTTGCAAAGCAATACTACCCGAAACCCAATAACCTCATCGTCGGGTCCTTTCCACCCGATGGTAGGGGTGAGACTCTGATCCTTTTTGGGTAGACTTGAGTGTGCTCTGCACTCTACACAGGGCTCCCGCCCTGAAGCTGAAATCTGAAAGTCCTCAGCTCTACCTATAGTCTCCATTGTAGTTCCTTTTTTTGGTTAACCAAATTTATATTAAAGGATCCTAACCATAAAATTGGTTAACCAAAAAAGGAACTACAATGGAGACTATAGGTATATCCCCAATCGTCCACCCTGAATCCTGGATCCAAAACCCAACACCCTAAGTCCCAAACCCTAAACAAAACAAAACCCCAAACCCTAAATCCCAAACCCTAAAAACCCCGAACTCTAAACAACATCGTGCCAGGACCGGCCTTCGACAGGTGTGGTCCTTCGGGATATGACTCCGGACCTCAGTGTGTTGGATCTGGGCTTATAAGGTTTAGGAGTTTAGGATTTAGGGTTTAGGATTAAGGGTTTCATAAGAACTTCATTATGAAGGGTTCTGTGAAGGTCTAGCGCAAAAGGATTGGTTTTCCTTGGAACATCTTAATACGATCCTCGAAAGGAGTCCTGCGACCTAGAAACTATAAACCCTCGAGGACACGACCTAACCTTTTCCAACATAGGGTTTTGCTAAGTGACGGGGTTACGCAGGGAACGGGGAGGCATGCTCAATGACACAGGCCCGACTTCATCCAAGCAGCCATCAGTGAAGAAGTAGAACTGCGCACCTGCGTCATTCTCCGTTTGTGCAGGTCTACCTAGAGTCTCCCTTGTAGGTCCTTTTTGGGGTTACCCCTCAGGACCCTAGACCCAGACTTGGTTAGACCCCCCAAAAAAGGAATTCTTGGGCCCCTGTATGACAACCTTTCAGTGCCAACTACGACGCTGATTGGGATCCAGGACAACTAAGCTACGGGCTGAGTACTTGGAGGTACATGGGCAGCGGTAAGTGCCATGCCAATCACTGGTGATAGCTGTTTGTAGCAACACAGAGACCTCGGGCTAATGTACCCCTTTCCGTAAAGGCACTGAATATTGATTAAGAGGAAGGGATTCATTAATCAGGGGTCTACGTCGCGACACTGGCTGGCAGATAAGAAGATGGTGTAACTAGCCAGCACCGAAACCAAAGTTCAACACATCCCACGAGATGCCTCCGATGCCAAAGGAACAGATGTTCTGGATGAAGAAGAACGCATTCCTCAGACGGTTTCCGTCGTCCAGGGCATGACGATGCTTCTAGACCCTGCCGCTCGCTTTGGCCAGGAGCATAAACTGACTTGAGTCTAGGGTAATGTAGGGCTTCACAAGCTGGACTATTCCAACCAGCATGAATTTGGATTACTCAAGGGCCGCAAGGCCCCGTCTTGCCGAAGTCCGAACTTTGTTGCCCAGAGTCTCCAAACTCCCTGAATCAAGAAATAGACTGTGGAATATATAAGAATCTTTCATAGGGTTTTGAGATCGGTTCCGTGAAACCCTATAAACCCTTTTTAAACAATCTGTATACATATATGTGTGTGTAAAGATGTGTATCACTTAACTTGGGCGTCGCATGGCGTCGCTGCATCCTGGGCTCATCTTCGCGATGATGGGGGAGAGCGCGCAGGAGACCAGGCCTCAAGCTGTTAACGAGTGGCAAAGCCTTTCATCACCTGAACATTATTGTATTGTGCGAAAATGATTATATAATATTTGTATTCTAATATATAATAATAGAATAACGGCACATTATATTAGAGTATAAAATCTGTTAAAGTCTAGTATACTATGCTACATCATTACATCACATTATAGTATATCATGTTATACTACACTATAGTTTGAATACCCCGAACTACGGGGGAATTGGAGCACACCCTTATTGGGCTAGATTGATGCAGGATTTCGCCCATCAGCTGTATTACCGATGTAGACTTCAAGCATAGCAAGGGCAACATATCTGTTGGACCGGGGCCTGTGTAGCTGAGAGACCCGAAAGCTATAATTCCAAAGCATGCTGAAGTTCATAAGTAACACACCCGAGACTTCAGGGAGGCATGAACGCCTAAACAGCAATTAAGTCGCTTAGCTCTGAAACTCTAAAACCCTAAACCCTTCCTTGCATTAAGGGTTTAGGGTTTAGGGACCCTTAATCTAATACTCCAAGATCGGGAGCGTGAAACGATGCTCGGACAAGTCACCCAGGGCTAAAACAGCCAAGCATGCCGCAGCAAAGACCTGCAATGGGCTGTGGGGTGCTAGCTTCTGTAGGCCACTTCAAGGGTTTTTATTGGCTTATCAGGGGCGTCAGGTTGCACAGAGGGTTTTTTTATTTGCTACGCATCAGGTTTACAAGGTATGTCAAAGGGGCAGAATTCTCTAAACACTCCTGGTAAGAGCTGATCTGGACTTATGAGGGAGAGCAGATTGGATACAAGATTTGATGGCCTGAGGTGCAGAGGGTGCGATACAGGCGCAGGGCCCGAATAGTAATTATGGGGGGGCGCTTCACGAGTATCTGGCAAATTCTTAAACACGTGATGTTGGTAGTTATTCAAGATTCAATATGAGGACACTAGTATTGTGGGTCTGGGGCGGGCCCTCTTAATTGAAACACCTCTTCACCCTATTGGCCCAGAACTGAACTACCAAAAGGCTCCTCTACTTGGCACCCAAGTATCATTCCCAGACGGCTGCTGGTGAAGAAAAAAATCTTGCATTGATTTACGCACATTTAAGCCGAGAGTTATGGTAGGATGCGATATGCCAATCTATGTCCCATATAAGGAGACGGCCGGATTCTGTCCACCAGCAAAACTCACCAATAAAAATCCCTGCAGTAGATGCTCCACGTCCATCAGCAGATATCTCTTCATATCCCTTAATTGAGGAATAAACCCTAAATTACACTGGGGTCCCAAGTATGATGTATGTGAAATATCTTCCTTCATCAAGGGATATGGGAAGGTCTGGGGGCATGGCCTTCGTCTGAAGGCTCCCTCCAAAAATGGAAAGCAAGGCCAGGCCTGTGGGAACATGGGCTGAGGCTTGTTGGGGTTCGGGGATTACTATAAGTTTGTTTAGGGTTTAGGGCTTCGGCGATCACACTCGGGGTTTAGGGTTTAGGGTTTTAAAGTTCAGGGTAGACTCAAGCTATGATTATCCTCGTTCTTTCTCTGGTGCGGAAATATTCCGCCGCACATAGTACCTGGGAAGCACCCCACAACAAGAACACCAGCATACCCTGCACGAGTCAGTCTCATTGGTGCATTCAATCATACTAAGCCCCTAAATTAGCCGCAAAACCCCAAGGAACCCCAACCCACGAAACCGATCGCGCAACAAAAACATCGTCGTGCGGCCATGGAGCGTAGGATTTTTCCAAAATTTTCATACCATTCATATAATATGTGAGTTTCAGACAATTTGTCGGGATTTTCAGTATCAAATATGTCCAAAGAAGGGGCCCCGAATCTCAAAAGCCACTTGTATCAGGGCTTGGGGGCTTTGCGCTCGGCTTTGAACAGGGATTCGGCATTGAGATCTCCCTGGGTCTTCGTTAGCCGTTAGCATCAGCAGCCCCAAGAAAAGGAATTGGCAAGCGCAACCCTGTCCAAAGGGCATGCAGGAAGATCCCCTATTCAACTGCCGACATGAAAATATGAGGGCCCAGCTTCAGTTCGGGCCGTTGCAACATATTAAGGCTTTCAGGGCACAAAACCCTGAAGCCTGCGGTTCAGGATTGACGTATGATGGACTGTGCAGGTTTAGTGGCCCAGGGTTCCGCAGCCCGTGATGAAGGCGACAATGGCCAGCCTTGGCTGAGTTTGGGGATCTTGTAGGCATGGGGTTGTGGGTTTTAGGTTTGAATGTTTAGGAGGCTGTAGGTGCTTAGGAGGACTTGGGTTGAACGGCTGAACGATGACGGCGCACTGCATTGCTTCCGCGGTTATGCGCAGCACTAATCGATACTAATCTGGAGAGCGTGAACTCGGAATTTCAATCATAGGTCAAGGGCTCGCTTTCTGGCTCGGCAGATCGCCCTTCCCCCTATTAATCCGTGGATCCCTACACCCCTGGACTCCTAAACCGTATCCCAGTGAAGCCGAATCAACCCTGAGCGAGGAAGCCCCTCAAGTGCAGGAAGGCTGCGGTAGCTCAGACCCAGCCAACTTGGCTCCACAGCGAGCTCTCGACCGGGTCTCCTGGGGTTTGGCGGAGTATTACCCCAAGGGTCCAAGTACCTAATAATCATATACTCTCCCAAATAGTAACCTACATAACTACTATCCGAAACCTAAGTACCTAATTATTGGGTCCTTTCGACCCTTAGGGTTACTGTGAGGCTACAGGACATGGCAATTATTGCATGAGTATACGTGTCATGGAATGCTCCCTGCCTCTGCATGTCCGTGCGTATATACACGCGCAGACACTGCCTTTTCATATTCTTGGGCTCCTCCTCCTGATTTTCCCTATATAGATGCTATATCTGCAAACTACTTTATCGGGTATTCTAAACAGTATATACAGGTGCTGTTATAGAAGTTATAATATGAGATGTTCTATATAGGTAGCCGGGTATTCAAGAAGGTATATAAAGGGTATAAGTATATCAGGGGTTTTTTGTAAGGTATTAATGTAAGGTGTTTTGTATGATCCTCTTTAAAGTTTGCAGCAGATATGTTCTGCAAGGGAGTCTAGAGGCTATCCTGCTAGACTGCTGATTTCCTTTCAAGGAAATCCCTTACTCAGAAGCTACAACTTAATTGTGGGATCCCAAATCTTGGAATCCGCCTGATTGCCCCTACATAAGTCCTATCTATAGGGAATTGTAGGGGGGTATTCTATATAATAGCGTATTAGCCGGCGTGTCAGTAATCTTTATGACGCGCGTGGGTATGACCGGTGAGGTATAAAGACTATAGACTAATGATGACACAAGCCGAAAAGCGATCTGTGAACGTGCTTAGCCAGATGGTTTGGCATGTGTAGTATATCTAGCAGCAACAGGCGGGTGAAATTATACATGAATGTTCCTGCCATATACATATATATATATATATATGTATAGATATATATATATATATATATCTGTGTGTGTGTGTATGTCTGTATGTGTGTATTATATACGAGAAGAGTCGGGATGTCAACCGAGCAGACTAACATGGCGCTGTGTTCTGGGTCGAAGTTGTAAGTAGTTGACACATCTCAGTGGAAAGAGGAGCTTGCATTTTCTGTTTGATCTCCTTTTGTTAGCGAGTGCTCGCAGAAATCGGGATAGCGCGAAGCCGGAATCACCACACATGCAGTAGAAGGGCACAGCGAAGCACAACATTCCTACTGCTTGCGCCTTCCAAATTAGAATTGGGATCTCGGGCCCCTTCTCAAACATCGATTTAGCAACTATCATCATCAGGAGGGATATCGCTCCAAACTTCTTCCCTCTACAGTAGAGCCTCAGCCTTGCAGTGGTGGGCTCCTGGGGAAGATTCATCAGTGGCACCAGCAGCGACAAGACGGCCATGGGCGTTGCGATCTCGGAAGCTGGGCTTGTCGGGCGCAGGGTGGCTCTAGATTTATCTCCCAAAGGTCCGAAGTATTAATATAGCAGTTTGTAGGGTCTCTATATTTGGAATTAGTATTATGATTTGGGGAAATATCCCCCCTAACACTACCTAGGACCCTTTTGGGCTAACTCCAAACTCCCCGGGCTTCACGAGAAGGCTCGGGGTGCAGGGTTCAGGGCCGACGGTTTCGGGTTTATGGTGTGGGGTTCTCCGGCTTCCAAAGGGGCAACATCGACTATAATAATAATGATAATGATAATAATAATAATAACTATAATAATAACAATAATACTAATAACAACAATCATAATTAGAATGTAATATTAATATGGAAACATGCCCTGCAAAATCTCCCTAAATTTTACTGCGCCAACCACTCATAATGCTAACCCAACAACCACAGAAATCCTCCGGGATACAACATATCTTAAATACTATATACCATCAATATACATCCCAAGCGCCTCAAACCCAAACGTAACATCGGCTTGTGCTTTGCCAGGCACTGCTGTCTTACATTTGTGGATTGGTGCCGGGTTTGTCACCTCCACCAAATAACTTTGAACCCCAAGCCCATCATCTACCGCAACAGGACAAAGCCCAAGCGAGAATGTCAAACTATCGGAATAATTCAATGCTGTGCGGGGATAGGATGCAGGGGTCGAAGTTGACGATTCACAAAACATTCCGCAGGCTACAGTGCTGTGACTCCTCTTGCCTGGAGCCTTGCGTCTTAGGTGCTCGGAGGAGATTCGAGATCTACATCTGCTTTGGGCTTCGGGTCTCAGAACTAGCCTGAGGTCGAATAATGAGGCTTGGGGTTAAAACTTATAAAGGAACCCTAAAGGAGCCCATTAAAGGAATCCAAACTAAGTTACAGGATCCTAAACCCTCAGCCGGTAGGATTAGGAGCTTTCGGCTTTGCTCCCGAGGAGCCAAGTACGAGGTGCGGTTGCCGAAATGCGTCATCACCTGCGAAGCCACGAACCCAAAGCCGGACAAAAACAGCTGTAACCAGGCCTTCCCATATCCCGTAAGTAAGGCATGATACATTAAATCATAGTAGGATCCCGAAAACGAGTTAAAGTGCATTCCTTAATTAAAGGATGTTTGGTTGGTCTGGGTATAATGTTCTTGGGCATATAGTAACCGAATCAAGCCCTAATGCGAACACCGGAGACCTCCTACCTAGGATTTTCCAGGAGTACACCCGACCCCGCTCTTCGGTTGAATCATCATGATACAATGGTACCCCGTAACCTGCAATCATGTGCGCTCTGGATTGCTCATGGCTTAGGCTACTGATTATGCTGTAGTTGATGGAATCTGCTTATCTAGAACGGGTACTGGAACGAGCTATGGCTAAGAACAGTTGCTAGGTATCGAAGCCTACACGTCAACTGCAGTCACACATTGTGGCAAACCTCGAAACTCTAGTCTCAAAGTCTCAGTGGCCCTTGACATGTTGCACTGTAGGGTTTAAGTTTTAGGGTTTAGATGCCTTTCATCGTATCTGAATGAGGGCAGAACTGGGCTTCACAAATACGCCGGCTACAAATAAAAATCCTGCAGGACTGCCGACAAACCCTTGCTTTTTACTGACGAAATGACTCCCAAAGCCCGAGAATCTGGAATAGGGCTTTGCTGATTTGTTGTCCTCCTTCTCCGATTGGGTCCGAATGGCTAGCAATAGTCTCCCCTTCACTCTAGTTTTACAGTATAACACACACCCCATGGCCCTGCACTAACTCGCCCTAAAACTCAGCATTTTGGCCGCCTCTCCGACAGCTAAGAGTGCCAGAAGCCGGCCACAGCTAATGCCGCCCCAAACGTAGGAGATGAGGCTAGGGCCATGGTGCGGCCTCGGGGGGTGAATTTACGGTTTAGGTTTTAGGGTTTAGGGGCATTTTAGTGCTCTCTGCCGTAGGGGTGCACTGCCGTAGGGGTGCAGGGCTTAGAGTTCCAGGGTCTAGCGGCTTTGTTCCTTTAGTTGGGGATTTCGCAGTTCGAGCTTCGGAGGACTTTCTGTACCAGTAGCTGGGGGTTTCGAGTTTGGAGTATCGTGTTGTTCAGTCAAAGGTTCGGGAGTTCATGTTTAGAGGCTCGGGGCTTCGGGTTTAAGGGCTCACGGGTTTCGCGAGATTGCAACTTTGCACTTGAGCGGTCCAGTCTCCCGAGAGCATGAAGCTACATAATTCTGCTAGGGTTGGGGTTTTGTGCTTCCCTTCCTTGGCCGAGTATTGAAAACCCAGAACCACGGCTTGTGTGTTGCTGCACGCCGCTACTCTGCTTATATGTTTATCTGTGGCAAGGGGTGCATGTCTGTGATTCAACCCTTTCGCAACGGCCGTGTCAGATCTCGACCGGACTGATAGCCCACAGCAGTGACTTCAGATCATGCTCTAAACCCTAAGCCCTAAACCCAAAACGAAGAACTTTCAGGAGCATCGAGATGGAAGTCTCTAAGGGGTCTCTACGGCGCATCCGGTGGGAAGGCGGAGCACACCTTCGAATGTTCAGCTGTGCGTCATTCAAGGCAAGCAAGCTCTCATCGAGCGCGGGGTATTTCGTAAGAGACGTTCAGAATCGAACACATCTACCCCGGAATTTTGAGCCTGACTCGTTCCGCCAACCTCGGCCGAGGTGGCCTTATGATGTTAATTTGGTGCTGGTACAATGTAGGGGCCTTAATAATTAGAATAGGGTTTCGGGGTATATTATACTATACCTATAATAAGGACCTCCTACAATCATATAATTATTAAGGCCCCATATTAACCCTAAACCCTGAGCCCCAACCGTCCTGAAATCTCCAAGCAAGACAAGCGGCTTTTCTCGAAGAACGACGGAGTAAACTGCTTCGGTCAGGAGGTCGCTCCAAGCGACCATCAGGAATACGAAAAACAGAAGGATGAGCCTCGGCGCCAGGCTAGGGTTGGGGGGACTTGCGGGCTGAGGGTTTAGGTTTTAGGGTTTAGGGGTTTGGGGGTTTGGGGGTTTAGGGTTTAGCTGGTCAAGGCTACTGTGAGCGAGCTCTGCAGGCACTGGGGTCTTAGCAGGTTTCGTGATGGTGTCAGCTCTCGGTTTGATGCAGTCAGCTGCGGCAACTGCTTTTTTTGTGCTTTCACAGTCCTCCTCAGCTTACCATAGTAGCCTCCGAGACGAAGGGAGTTGAAAACCATGCGGTACCCGGTATCACTATGCAAGGCACACATGCGGCGGACAAGCCCGGAAGAACACATCACAGGTCGCACAAAACCTCAGGCCGTAAGGTCCTGCAGTGTGCAGAAAGGAACCCAGCCCTGTGACTGCCAACCGGCACCTGGAGCATGGTACTATCACGGGACACCTGACAACAAAAAAGAGTCTCTTCTGCATCCTGTATATAATGCAGCAGAATACCTCCGAAGACCGTACTTCATCGGATGAGACGCAGGACCGGTATTTATAGTCAGTGTCAAAGACAATCCCTGACCTTGCCCTTGCATCGTAACTGTTCGTAGTCGTACGTAGTCCCAGAAGCAGCATAGTCAAGGTGAGATCGCTGTACAAGGCGATCCTTGGGCTCTTTGGTGCGTGGCGAAGGTGCAGTGAAAGCTTCTTGACCGCACGCCGCACGAAAGGCTAAACAACCAACCGTGACAAGATTGAAACATGCGGATTCCTAAAATCTAAACTAAACACATATTTGATACTACCTCCGTTAGCTTCGGCGTCTAATCATTGCCCTTCCGTCTCATCATTGAGACTGTCAAATCTCTTACCAACAGCATACCTGCCGTGTATCATGTTCTCCCACAGACATGATTCTGCATTGTTCAACTGCAAGTGGAGTTTAGGCGTAGGAGTGGTGGAGTTTCCGCATCCAAACGGATGCTTACAGTGCTGTCCGTTCCACCTAATGATGAGCAAAGCCTCGGGGCGTGCAGGCAAGCCGTTCCCCACAAACCCCTACCTGCTGCCTCCCGACCAGCCCCAACACAGCAGGAAAACCATTAAAAAGCGACCACAGTAGCAAGTACAAACACAAGCTTTAAACTTTAAAACGTGCGGAAAATGCACTGGAGCATGGGATTTCTTGACCATCTGCAGGAGACATGCCAGGCAGCACACCCCAAAATACAGGTCACGTACAGCAACCATTGATTTCTGGCCATCTCTTTAGGACATGCAAGAGGGAGTGCCCATATCGTGCTTTGGATTTGGGTTTCAGAGCTGCAGCAAGCACCTCGTCATGCAGTGGTGCTAAAAGAGCTGCGCAAAGTGCGAAAGTGCCATACATGCAAGAAAAAATCCTCGCCAGGGCTCATGAGGCAGGAAATTGTGCCCGCAGTGGCCACGAAAAAGAAGTATGGGACACCTCGATGACTCTTGACACGAGGGTTTGGAGTTTTAGGGCTCTTTATTACATTTGTGGTACAGCTGTTCCAATTGTCTATTGTATGACATGCAAACTCTTGTTGCTCGGGCCGCAATGTGTGTCTGACCTTCAGGTCTTGCTATTGCTTGGGCAGCCGCCATCGGGGGCACTTTAAGGTCTAAATGATAGATCATACAAGGCTCTGGCAACCTCCATGTGCAGTTGACATTGTTCATCCCAGGCCGTGGGCTACCCCTACCTGAACCCTGCCGGTATATCCTACGCAATTAGCCCTTCAGTAATAATTAAACCTGACCGGAACACGATGGTAGCCGAAGATGGGGACGGCGTCCGATATCAGCCCCAATAATGGCTTGATGGACCTCAGCAACGAGTTCGTGCATGGGGCTTTAAGGCTTTGGGGATAGGCGTTGGGGATTTCGACAGACAAGGCATCACAAGCCCTAACTTGCTTATGTATACATCTCTCTGAAGTATACACTCATATTTGAATTGTACAGTAACCCGTATTAGTAAAGGCTCTATAAAAGTATAACCCATATCGTAAATCCCATAATCGTAATAGCAACACCATTGTAACCCCTAAAGCCTAAACCCTGCACCCTAAACCCTAAACCCCTAAACCCTAAACCCCTCAACCCCAACCCCCTGAACCCTAAACCCCCTAAACCCTAAAGAACGGCAGCTTGTGGTCTGACTGCCTGGCAGCCAAGCTACCATGGCACGCTCACAGCCGACCTGTAGATCTGGATGTTCCCGGCGCTAACGTGGAACTCCTGGGTGTGCTGGGCGCTTTACAATACGTTTAGGGTTTAGGGTTTAGGGTTTTACCCTCAGGCTCTAAGGACTCATATTTTAAGGCTTTTGGGCCCAAAGACCATGCTACATATGGCTTTTGGACTATTTTGAGCCTTAGGGTTAAAGAGAGTTTCTACCGGTTTGTTTCAATGTAGGTATTCATTAATGGGGCTTCGCACAAAGAACTTGAATATGTAGAACAAGTGTTGCTTTATCTTTCTGGTATAGTTGTACAATGAAGGGATAGGGGGATATTCTGCGAATTCTTCAGACCTGGTTCTCAGGGGATTAGCAGGGCTTGGGGCTTGGGACCTTATAGGGGTCGGAGGACGTAGTGCGGGGCCGAATCCACCGAGCGCCTGCGACAGCCATGTATGAGTTCACATGCAGGAACGCACAAGCCGACCAAACCCTAAACCTCCCTGAACCCTGAAGCACCCTGAACCCCCGACTACTTGGGAGTTTCCGAAAATAGGGGACCCTAATATAGTACCCCAAATAGTAGGATCCTTATTATAAGGACCCCAAAATGGGGTACCTCTAATTTTCGGAAACTCCCACTTTTGCCCCGGACTAACTTTTGCAGAGCTCCAGCTCCGAAACGAAATCGCAAGCCCTGCAGGGTCTCTTCCAGACAGAAGGTAAGGTGTCAGATCCGAGGGCTTTTTACTAAAGGGTCATACCTTGGAGTCATACCCTACCTGTTCTGTAGGGTTTTCCACTAGGTACCCAAGTCAAGGCATAGGGTAGAAACTTCGAGGCATCTCTACAGCTGAGGGTACTGAGGATTAGGCCGAGTAGACGCCGGCTGAAGGAAGTAGATGGGTCTAAGTTTTTGGGTAAGCACCATGACGCAGCTTTTCACCCATTGATCATGTCTCCTGTGCCCCGAAAATACGCTTGTAGATCCCGGAACCGATAAACCCTTGAAGAACTGCTGTATACATAGGCCCCATAGTAGTTCCTTTTTGGGGTTCATATTTAGAATCCTATTAGGGAATCCCGAACAGGAACTACTATAGGGCCTATGGGTAACTTATAAACCCTTCCCTGTCTGACCCGGTCCTTTAGGAGATATTCGATAGGCAGGCCAATCAGGCCGCCGTTGCCGCCGCCCGCTGCGAAGCCCTTCAAACCCGCCTGCAAGGTGGTCCAGGCTTAAGGGTTTATAAGGTTTGAGGTGGATTTCCTCCAAAAAAACATCCTGCGCCCAAAATCTTCATATAGAGTCTAGGAACTCGGAGTTTACAGTCTTATAGTCTTATACTCACAGATTTAGGGGCTAGTAACTTAGAGGAGAACTTATGGATGTACGAATCTTGGGTTTCGGGATCTGAGGTTCGTGCTTGGCTAACGCTCTGGGAATCCCAAAGTCAGCATGGTTTGTCTGTTCCAGCTGACACCGCGCCGGGAGTTTTGCCATTGAGCCGCCATGGGTTGTCAAAGGTCACAGGACAGGTGTAGGGTTTGAAGGCTCGAGATACTGGAACCGATATGCCGAGCTTGATATTTTTGGACTTGCCGTTCTTGGGGTCGCAGCTTGTACCCCATAAAGCTGTATTTCGACCCCCTCCGTTCCAGCGCTTCATTTCAAACAACGGCTATATACCGCAGAAAGATTCGTTAATTAATGTAGTCTCCATGCTTGGTGACACCCCTACTCCCAAACATACCAACACACGGATTCAGATCGGCCTCGGTAAGAGTGAGCATGAGAAGTAGCCTCCATCCGAATGCATCGCACAGCACACCTCGAGGGCTTGCACGAATCGAAACAAGTATGATAAACAGGCTACAAACATCAACACCGATACCAATATTCGTTGTGAAACCACGAAGATCCCGGTGAGTATAGATGTATGCGAGTGCGCCCACGTGTACCGAAACGCAACCTACATACATACAGAACATACATACATACATACATACATGCATGCATACATACATACATACATACATACATACATACATACATACACAGATACAGATACAGATACAGATACACATACACATACACATACATACATACTTACTTACTTACTTGCTTGCTTGCTTGCTTGCTTGCTTGCTTGCTTACTTACTTACTTACTTACTTACTTACTTACATACATACTTTCTTACATACATGCATACACACATACATGTACAGACATAAGTACGCGTGCATACGCACGCGCATACGGACATACAAGCATGCATGCATATATGCATACCCACATGCGTTTTTTGTTATCATGGAGGGGTCAAACACTATGGGCTTGGAGGTTTATTGAAGGCTTTTCATGCGATCTAGCCAGAGGCTTCCGGCTTCCGAGCTCCGCTCGCCCATTATCATCGGTCACCTGGTCCCTAAGCCACCTATAGTCTCCATTGTAGCTTCTTTTTTTGGTTAACCAAACTTGTATTGAAGGATCCTAACCATAAAATTGGTTAACCAAAAAAAGGAACTACAATGGAGACTATAGGTAAACTCTACAATAAACCCTTTTGCATCAGGGCTTGTGCAATCGCCGGAATGTCTGAGCCTACAGAAGTTCAGGAACCCTTTTTGCAACAGTCTTTCCTCTTCGCCCGGAGTTGGAGCAAGCAGCCCTAGCAGCTTGACTGCGGAGCCAGCTCTCGCATCAGGAACCCTAAACCCTAGACCCTAAACCTAAACCCCAAACCCTAAACCCTAAACCCTGAACCCTACACCACCAGCCAAGGCACGGAAGAAGCCAGAGATCCCCCATTGCGACTCGTGCTTGGACAGTGCCCCGTCGGTGGCCGCGGTGGACAAGGATGACGGGGAGAACTTGGAGGGCGAGGCCACGTCTCCTCCATGGCAGCTTTTGATGGAAATTCCCCAAGGCGCCATGTACCTATACCCATAGGCCCCATAGTAGTTCCTTGTTTGGGGTTCATATTTAGAATCCTTTAAGGTAATCCCAAAAATGAACTACTATGGGGCCTATGGGTATAATAGACTGAGGCCGTAAATTCCCTATATAGGACATTTTAAGGCAGGTCTGCTAATATGTGCACCTGGGGCCTGAGGACCCTAGGGAGTTGAGGCTCCGGGGATGTAGCGGACTGGGGGTCCTCACAATACGGCTCCCCTCCTTGTCTGGGCCCCTACACGACCCCGCATTCAAACTCTCATTTCGGACCCTAAACGCTAAACCCTAGGGTGCTCCAGAACCGAGACCAGAAGCTAGGCCTTTCTGTCGGGCACTGCTGCGCATGATGCCCGAATCTCTGACAGAGATATAGGCACATAGGTGCCTTCCTAACATTCGGGATGCCTTATATGCGGGGCCTTGTAATCAGGCTTCTACTCGTGAAGCTTCACTGTTTGCTGGAATCCACGAGGCACGCATTCAAATGCCGAGGACAGTAGTGCCTCAAAAACATTCAATCTGGGTCCTTCTTCATCTTCAGAGCGCATGGCTGCGTAACTGGAGGTACGGGTGGGCACCTCTCAAACCTATGTGAAGAAACATGTAACCTGAGCCACAAGGAGCGCAAATGACTAATGGCTGGTACAAGGCTTTAACAATTAGCTTTGGGCGTATTTTTTATAACTAAGTGCCGACGAAAACCCTCTAAGCTCCGCTGCTTCGACGATTCATGCACGATCTCGAAGTCAGCAGGCCGAAAACACAAAACTTGTTACAATGTCGAACCACATCAGGTACGTATTTACTCCGGTTCCTTACGGTTTAGGGTTTTAGGGTTTTGGGCTCAGGGCCTTGTATCTTGTTTGGACAATCTAGCTTTGTTAAGCCTATCGGGGTGGCAACACATTAATTATTGGGGCCTTAACAATTAGAATAGGGTTATGGGGAACTCTCCCAAAACCCTAAACCCCTGAACCCTAAAATCCCAAAATAGTATTGGCAATTACTTAGGCCCCTATATTAAGCAGCCCGGGGCCTTGATTCGGGTTTCCATCCACAGCCAAAAACAGGAGACAGGAACCCTGAACCGTGAACCCTAAATCCTACACCCTAAACCCTCATCGGGGATGTACAGAGAAGGCCCTAAATTTTAGGGTTTAGGCTAAACCCTAAAATCTAGGGCCTAAAATCCTGCACCCCAGATATTTATAGCTGGATACCCTTTGAAGCCCAGTGACAAAATAGGGTTTAGGGTTCGGGCTTAGGGCCTAAATCCTACCTTTCAACCTCCGTAGACTGACCCTGTCAGGGAAAGAGAAAAGGAGATCATCATAAGGAAGCCTACATAAATAAAGGTAGGCTTTTCCAAAGAACCTCCGAAGCCCCGTGCTGGATGACGGGACATCTGCCGAAAACAAACAGGGTTTAGGGCTCGTAGTCTTTTGACACCTGTTTCCAACTGCCTGTGCTTTAGGGTTTCGGGTTTAGCGAAATCTTTTTTGCAACTGGGCTTGGGCACTTGTCAGATCTACGAGTAGCTAGTCCCCAAGCCCTGTTGCAAAACAAACCTGAACCGAGAACCCGTACCGAACACACAAATCCTAAATCCCCGGACTCCAGTAAGCGCTAGGCCTATTCTCCTAAGCCAAAAAGCCTGAAGCACAACAGTGAGACACCTGCACTTAGCAGTTCCCGTTATGGCAAACTGCTGATGTCTCCATCTACTGTGTTGGGTTTCAGCGTCTCAAGAATTAGGTCTCCCGTCAAGCGTCTGTTGTTTATGTTCCTCCCAGGGCATCCAAACTTCTGCAGCTGTGGTTTGAAGCTCTCGGGTCGACCAGACTGTGTCTCCGAACCCTCTCAGAGGTCAGGGGTTTAGGGTTTAGAGGGTTTAGGGAAGCATCAGCTCTGAGATTTTGTACCCTTTTTGAACCCAGGCTCTGATCATCAGCTGGGAAGTCAAGATTGTGTACCCCTTTTTGCAAGTGGCCTGCAACGTCACGCCACCCTAAAACCCAATTTTGTACTTACCAAGCCGTAACTTGCCATGACTCAAGAAGTTGGGCCTTTAACTCGGGCCACTGAGATTCGGACGGACCGCCGGTCTAACCCCTAAGCTTCCTCAACCCTACTCCAGGGGCCTTGACAATTAGAATAGGG